GAGATACAAACCGACTCATTTGAAACCAAAAACGAGACAACAGAACTCGGACCCGATTTAACAGTCAAAACCCCCAAATCGAAAATATATAGAACCCTAAATCTGAGATTTTTGAAATTTCGCGAAATTGACTCCTAAAAACCACTGAAATCATGAGCAATGTTTCTGAATCTTCTTCTTCATCAACTATTTGTGTTGCTTGCTTTTTGTCATTGAATGCTTCTGGTTTTTGATGAAATCGTTTGTTTGGCTAAACAACTTAAGAAGTAACAAAAAGTGTAAAATAATGATAATTTCTAGGGAAAATTGTTTCTTGATTTGAAAAATTGTTTCTTTTCTTACTAAGAAGAAGGAATGACGACGGTATGCATCATGTTCTTGAACTCGAAAAAGTCAACGCCACCATCTTCATCTTCTCAAACCCATCACCGTTCTCGTCGAATACCTTAAACATCTCCGCGAGATCGGACTCATCTGCAGCGGCGGATTCTGACGACAAATCATCATCGGCTTCTCCGGCGTCGCCGAAGAACGAGTCGTCAAGTGTTTTGTGTAATGAAGAGAAATCGTCGAAGTTGAGACCGATGTTTCCTGGTTGGATGTATGATTAAACGATTGATTTGAGAAACGAGACTGTGACAAAAACGAGGAGCTATGATTGTGGTAATGGCATAAACTACAAGGAGTAAGGTTAAGAAATTTTGATTTATGATTTGGGGAAAATGAAAAAAAAAAAGGGACAGACATGGGTTTTTGTTTTTGGTTTAGGCTTTAATCGAATATCAAATCCGGTCACAAACCCTTATTAATCCGATTCAGACGGATTTCAATGGTTAAGTGTCAGTTTTATCGGTTTGGTGTCAGGTTCACTCTAAAACAAATCCAAATCAGATCGGGTGGGGAAATGCACATTTAACTTTGATTTGGTGGAGAAATAAACATTTAACATTCATCTAAGAGAGATCTGTGCGGAGGTTAAAATTTGGTGGACATATACATAAATGTAATAGTTCTTGTGGGGAAATAGACCGTTTTTCCGCTAGCTCCTCTTCCAATTTTGACTTCATTTCCAAGACCAAATGCAACAAAAAAACTTAATATCAATAAACGTAGATGATCAAATAGTTAAACTGAAATAAATACATTTAACAACAGAGTTTTAATATCAATACTGAAATTTTGTTTGTTATAAAATCGTTGATGTACCAATTTCTATAATTTTCATAATTTAAGCTTGAACATGTCTCATCTTGCTTCGTATCTTTGTTTCTTTCTCTATTGTAATAATGTGGAAACCATTGTTGTGGTTTGGTCCTAATAAATTAAGTGCGTTGTTTTGATCTGCAATAAGTCATTTCTTTTAATTAATACTAGATTTTGTCTCGCGTCAAACGCGAGATGACGAGGGTTTAGAATATTTGAAAATAGAAAATCATAATTTTTTTTTATAATATACTGAAAAAATTAAAAACAAAATGATATTTGATTAGTAGAACTATATTCTGAAGAAAAATTAAAGTCAAGATTGTGCCATTGTATTATACTTTTTCGCACTTGTGATGCAACATAAGATATTTGATCATGCTCCAGAGCCTGTAATAGAAGGTGGTCCTCTCTTCCTGGGACGAAGATTGTTGTCTCGACCATATGATTTTACGCAGGTAGACCGTCTTTTAACTATCAATGGGATTGTTTATTACTGATAGAAATACTTCATCAACAATGTAACGCTGAAATTTGCAGGGTTAAAACATGTACTTGAGAAGTTTTACAAGAAGAGACAAAAGGGAGAAGGAAGAGAGCAAAAACCGGAAGTGAATGAGGATCATATTCTCACATGTCGTTCCTTGGACATGTCCCGGAATTCTGTTTCACAATTGGTTTTTTCTGTTATATATAAGCTTACATATTATAAATTGTTATATTAGTTAGAGATATCGTTAATAGTATAAATTTTCCAATTAATTTTCAGAAGTGATCAAAGTAGAATAAAAATAAAAATACTTAATATAGATTACATTTCAAATAGAATAAACACAAATATTTAATCCAAATTACATTTAAAAAGTACAATAAACTCAAACTAGATTTGAGTTTTTAACAAACCAGTA